AGAATTCAAATTTCACCAAATGTCGACTTCCGGTATACGAGGTGCGCCAGAAAGGCACGAGAAACCAAACATATCCTGTCAAGATAATTTTGTAAAGTAGGTTATGTGTACTCTGTATAATATTCACATATCCAAAATACTAACAAAAGGTATATCATATAGAGTATACAGACTTTATTACGAGCAAACTCGAAAGTTTTTAGCATCAAATTCTTGTATTATATGGAATGATTATGCATAAAATAGAAATGAAACTATATAAGTCTTATAATTATAATTTTAAATAACCCAAATATTTCGTCAACATCGTGCAAGTTACGTTATCTATTAGATTACTGTTTCAAAATGGTGATCAAGTATTGGTAGGTACCGCTATAATTTCCAGAAATTACTGATAAATTATCATTTTGTGATTCATGAACTTGATAGGTATAAGGGAGAATAATATAATTATTTAAACAATATGGTTGAACTTATTACGTCAGCAATAAATAAAAATGGAATACATTTACGCGACCCCTTATCTTGAATACAAAAATATATCAGCCTATATAGTGTTTACCAGAATAACATATTTAAATAATGAAACTGAAGCCCATGAATACCATTTCAGTCAAAAAATTAATGGTTATTTCTAGAGAGTTCGTAGGCAATTTTCTTCGGATCATTATAATAATTGCCATATTCCAAAATATAACACTTCTATATAGAAAATGTGAAACTGATATGTATATTAGTGTTTATCTGACTAGTCTTGGTCAATTCAGTAGCATGCCAAGCATGAAAATGCAAAAACCTATGACAGAAATGGTGAATCCCAAATGAAATCAGGTTTCAACTATCATCATTTTCAATATTTGAATAATAATCTCAACAAAAGTGGAAAGCTGAATGATTAGAAATAATAGAATGATGATTCGGTCAGATCAGGTTAGGTTAACATAACAGCGGCATAGGTACCGGATGAATGTGTTCAATGTATATTCCAAATTTCTTCATAATTCAGTCGAACACTAACATCAGAAGGCTTTTTTGAACGAAGCGACTATTATCAGATGAAACGAAGTTTGAATTGAATTTAACTGAACTTGTTTGTTTGTAAGGCAGTTAAGGACATATTGTAATCAAATTGGACGAGAGGTTGACATCAGAAAGAATTTGGTCGGTGTCAGTTACAATAAATTGTCGAAGGTTCTATATATATTCTATAGTTTTGTTATTTTCCACCAAAACTCGTTTATTTAGCAAAAATATGAATACGAACCGATTGATGAATTGCGTCAGGATGATTGAATTCATCTGATTCGGTTTGATTTAATGCATTTACCTTAAATGCAGAAGTTTGAGTGATGAGAATGAAAAAATATTCAAAGTATAATACGAAGAACGAATTGTATTCTGAATGATTATTTCTTTTCAATCAATTTGGAAGAAAAAACAATTTTTGAGTTTCGCTCACATCGTGTGTACAATCTTTCAAGAAATATACCCTCTTTTTGTTGTTTATTTTTCAGAGAATTGATAATTGATCTGATTGTTGCACATAAAAATTTGGTTGATAGAATCAAAATATGTCATATACGAAGGCAGATCTAATTAAATTTGACAGTTCAATATGTTAACAAGGTTTGGATTGGCCATCAGAATCACACATTACAACTGGCTGAAATCTCTGAAATGTCAGATACCTATTGGCATGTAAAGAAGTTATCACCGTATAAAGTTTCATATTGTTTCATTCATGCATGTTTTATTGGTGATACAACTACACCTACATATCAAATTTCATACACATTGTCATTCGATACTGATATTCAACGATTATCCTTACTTATGTTTACGGAATAGAAATAGCATAAGCTCTGAAACCCTGTATTTTCCTAAGCTATTTTATTACGAAACACTCGGGAAATAATGCAATTGAAAGGATAAATTTCCGACGCAACCATTCCATTGTTAAATCAATAGCTGATTTTGTTGATATGAATAGAGAGGTCGGTACAAATGTTAGCATATTGAATCCTAAATTCCATCGGACGGCCCCTGCCGAAGATATCTAAATCTACAACTTTCTCAGATTTGAGAATTATCAGTATCTTGCCGTGCCTTTCCAAGATTTTAGAGAAACTTATGTATGCACGAATTTTTGATTATGCCAAAGTTATGAACATTATTCCATCCTGTCAAACAGGCTTCCAAAAAAATCTAGGCACTGCTGATTCACTTGTTGAAGTACTAGATGATATTGTTGCGGGATTAGACAAAAAAGAGAGTTCAGTACTAGCTCCACTTGATTTTTCAAGAGCGTTCGATAATATAAACCATAAACTTCTCCTAGCTGAATTGGCTTACTACGGTTTTTCTGGTGATGCATTATCGTTGATTATATCGTATTTCAGTAATCGAAAACGAAAAATATTATCGAATGGCAGACAGTCTGGATATGTTGATATTTCCACGGGTGTACCACAGGGAAGCATACTAGGACCTCTATTGTTCATTATTTCTACGGCAGATATATTGAATTCGATAAATAAGTGTAGTCTATGTGCGTACGCGGACGATACACAAGTTTTTATCAAATTTCATGTTGAAAATTTAGAGGAAGCACAACTAAATCTCAATCATGATCTTGACTTTATCCATTCAAAAAGCCTGTCACATAACCTCAAATTGAATTCAACGAAATCAAAAATACTCGTTTTCTCCCCTCGTAACCTGTACGAGAAGTCGAATTTTATAGTAAATGGCAGCCGAATAAAAGTTGAACACTCAGTGAGAAATCTTGGTTTGATTATTGATGATGATCTCAGCTTCAGAAGTCATATAAATAATTTACTAAAAAGGACGTTCTCGTCTTCGAAAATTTTATACTCTCAGACTTATTCTCAATGTCAAGTTACGACAACAGTTACCTGAGAGCCTAGTTTTATCATACTGCGATTTTCTTCATGGACCATTTCTTAATGCTTCATACATAATCAAAATACAGAAAGTCCAAAATTACTGTATTCGTTTCTGGTTGAACATGGAGAATCGTGGTTCCTACATGCTTAGATGTAAGAATAGCTTTAGCTAAATCTCGCCACTAGTGATCAATAGTTCAATTATGCTTTTGTAACCAAATTAGTACATAAATAAAGACGATTTATTATTAGTGTCATTATTATCTCCATTTCCGCAAATTACGATTGTTTTTTGAATTCCAATATCAAACATCTGCCATGTTGACTATTCTTGAAATTTAGACTTGTGGATAAAGTTCTGAAAAGCAAGAAGTTTCTTGATACAAGTGCCAGCAATCGATTAGCGAAAACCGAGGCAAAACCATGCGAGAAGAGAACCAATTTTTCTACCCCAGCCTCCCATCAGTCATCAATTTCCAATTTCCGACACGCGGATTCAGTCTCTCGCGAGTACTTCTGAGTAAAAAAATCTGTCACATTTCACCTTGATTTCTTTTTTTTTTTCGGCGCAATATCGAATTTTGTTCGCTAAAGTGTCCACATTTTATGGAATTTCTAACTACTTCTCGAGGTGGCAATAAGCGACTTTCAGAATCGTATACCTGTCACCCCTTCCTTGCTGTGATGACTGAACATCCATGTCACTGACTCGTATCTATTTATTATTGATTAGAATGACACTGCTTCAAATATCAAATACGACATTTAGCGAGGAAAAATTAAATATGTCAAAGAAATGTATAATAATATTCATAATTGTTCTTGCTACTCAACAGGAGATGAAATGAAATAATATTGGCTATCACGTACTAAACTATCATTATGAAATTCAACAAATTTCAGAACCTTCGAGAATATGAGATAAAAAATATCTGAGAATATTCCTTTTCAATAAATATAAGAAACTAAAAAATGAATATCAAATAAGTTTTGACAATGGGTAGGTAAGTCGACACGTAAACAACTATAGTGTGGAACAAAACAAATTGATCACATTCATTCAGTATTAAGGTGAAATTATCTTCTTCGTTTTGAAGCGATCTGAATGAAATGGTATAATGGGCTGCATACCAAAGATCTCTTGGTATGACTCGCTGGTATGACATTCATATCAATATTTTTTGTGAGCTAATTTTTAGTAGTTGCTTTGCATTGCTGAACATTATGAAGTGGTCCTTAAAACACGTCCATCAAGTATAGTGCAACAAGATCGTTTTTTTCAAACAAATACCGGATGAACCATGTACACGTATCTACATGACCTTTCACAACCTATTCATTTTTCCAAATATATTATAGGTCAGCATCAGCATCTTCCACCTACACCCACAAATATATAATATATCTTCATGAATTTTGAGCAAATTTTGAATAAACAATACTGATACTACTGATAATAGTAATTTTCAGAAATGCACTTTCTTGGTTATTGCATGCTAAATAATAGCTCTTGGACATTGAGAGGATGTATATATTAATAATAAATAAGCTTGGTCCGGGAATATGGTTGCATCAAGAAAAATTACGACTTTGAAGATTCATCTTGCACCTTCTTAGGCCAGGCGGTGATTTTTTGCCATTGCAAGACTTGTCGGTTGAACCACTAAATTTATTCAGTAGGTTATTTCGATGGCAGCATATGCGTCTTGTGGGTCCGAGAGTCCTACTTCCTGATGTGTAAGCACGAGTAAAATAAATGAAAACAGAACGAAACATAAATGGTTTATTAAACAAAACAAAAAATATTATCACAATTACAAAAGTGAGGGTACTAACTAAAATGCTAGTAGTGCTAGGTGAACGGTGATCACAGACATACATATAACAGGTATCAGCCTAAAATAGCAGAAATAGCACAGCAAGCAAATGATAACAGCACGAACAAATCAAAACAAAAAAAACAATCAATTAGAAAAATAATAGCACATAATGAGGTGATAAGATTCAATGGTAATACTGGCAATGGCATCACAGTCAGGCAGTCAGCAAAACGGTGCTCTTTGGGCGAAAGGTCAAGTGCCGACACACAATTACCTGATAGGACATGAGTTCTCGAGCCTCATCCATGTTGGTGATCTCGAAGGTAGGCGGCTGCGGAAACGGCCCCTTCCCGGGGTACGAAGTGCTCCTCCGGAACTTGACAGGCGATATCACCTGCTGCTGGTTGAAAGTGGGACTCGGCTTCCGACCTACCCCGCTGGACAAGCCCACTCCCATCTGCTGCAAGGGGGTCAAATTCGGCACGCTGCGACCGCGGTTCCATCCGGAGGAATTCCCCGGAGACCAGTTCTGGCCCGGCGGGTTGGCCCACGAGCCGTAGCCCTTGTAGAGGTGGTTGGACAGCGACTGCTGCCTGGCCATGTTGTGTGGGAAGTTGTGGCTGGCCGTGATGGCCCTCCGATTCTGGTTCACGTGGTTCTGGTTCGGGTTGTTGCCAAAAAGCTGCTGCTGCGTGGGCGAAGGGAAGTTCTGAAAGCCCATGCCAGCGGCCGAGGCTCCCCCGTTCACGTTGGCGAAGCTCGGGACGTAGCCATCCTCGATAGCGGTCGACCACAGGGCTCCAGCTGGGGTGCTGGGCTCGGAAGGGTGGAACAGCGGAGGAAGACACGGAGCCGACTTGCTGTTCCTTGCGACTTCGTTGAGTTTGTCGGCGAGATCGTTCGCCGCGGAGTCGCAGTCTTTCACGGCCACGGCGTTCTTGTCCAAAGGGCTGCCGACGGAGTTGGCTCCGACTCCGACAGTCGCCGAGAGATCGTCTCCGTTATTTGCACCACTAACACTGACAGCGGCAATGGCTTTCTCGGAGAGATCATCTTGCATCTTCGAAATGTAGTTCTTGCCTTTGAGGATACTCTCGGTTCCGTTTCCACTCGATGTAGGTGTGGTGTAGAATAATGTGTTCTGATTGCCCTTCGCCGCCGAATTCACGGATATCTCCACAACACTCAAACCGATGTTCGCATTACCACTAGAACTAAATTCCCCCATTAGTGCACGTCACTGACTAAAGACCGAGCACGGTGTCCCGTATCTTCGTTATGTCATACACATATACCCGTCTGAATACACAACCAGTGAACCACCAGCCTACATTCATGTTAGTGTCATTGGTTTGCACCGAGCAGCACGATTTGCGAGTACACACGACTTGCAGCGACTGCCCACGAACGTTCGAACCTGCCAAAGATTGCATCGGCTGAGTTTGCGCCGCATAACTAATTTTCTCTTCCGTTTCCAGCCCAGGAAATGTGGCCCCTTTTGCAGCCTTTGCATTCGCCCCAAATACGCACTTCCTGCTACCCAATTTCTCACAACAAAATTAAATAACCATTCCGAAAGACAAAATCCATATTGTTTTTGAAATTGAAATGAAACAAAAAAGTCGAAGCTTTTGATTAACTGACTTAAAAGCATGCATTTAAAAAATAATCGAGTGTATTATTCTTGGCTTTGAAATATAAAATAATATATATTCATGAACAGAGGGTCTCAAAAAATGTCAACACTGACATGACCTTTTCCAGCCCAGCACCTACGCCAATTTGGAGGTCTAGCCATTTTTTCATTGTTTCTCTAAAAAATGCGTCCTATATCGAATTCCATTGAGTAACTATATTTTTCCAAAATTGTGTTTTTTCAATTATTACGAAGTTATCAATATTTAATTTCGCCGCAGGAGAGCTTCGATGAATGAATTTCGCCATATTCTCAATATCCATCTCCATATCTACATGATTTATTAGTAGACTTGTGTTTCGAAATCTATACACCTGACCAGGCATACAAAAAATAATCTTATGGATAGAAAAGGATCTTCATCATTATATAAACCTGTTGGATCATATATTCCCATTATTTATTGTCTTTGATTCACATCATTTGATGAAGAGTTTATGTTCATAGATATGCTGACGTTAATATTTTATATAGGAAGGGCACTTGGTCATTGATTGATTTCCGGATTTTGGCCTGGCCTATTTTTCCACTGACGTCAGTAACCTTTGCGGGTGCGCACGCATAGGATCGAACAGCTGATGACGACACATTTATGGAGTATAGAGAATACGTAAATACTCCCAGATTCCTAGGTCATCCTCCTAGAGGGAGCCACTCATCGATCCCTCATCCCATTCTCGGGTCGTTCGATTTTTCAGACGTTACCTAACTGTTTCACTTCCGAGTTATGGAAAATATCTAGCAAATGGGAAGTGATGAGGTCACGAGGTGGATTTAGTTCAGGTTTCAATTGAATTTCAGATTATATAATGAACTAGGTATATAGGTACAGTTGGGCCATAAAATCGATAAGACATCAGTAAACACACTCTATTTATACAGTATGGGTCGTTTTTCAAATTAAATTATGATATAACTATAGGTTGGTAGTTGGTATTATCTCCTCAATGAGTAGGTACTTATATTATACCTATATACTTAATTAGTGAATGACAATATGTAAATCTCCAATTAGAGCCAAATAAATAGCAATGACTTCATATATAGAGACTCCGGATTACCCTACGGAAGTATACCTATAGCAAGCACAAACATCCCTGGGATGTTTTGAAAATGTAGAGGTAGAGGAGACGTAAATATGCACTTCCCAAAGAGGTATTCAAAGGATATTACTCCCGATATTCAATATACATTCATAATTTCCAGTTTCATAATGGTTCTCGACATTTTTTTTTTCAATAACTTCACCATTCCACACACAGTTAAACTTCATTTATGTGAATGATAAATCTCGGAATATTTTATATCATTTAGAAACATCACTTCAACTATTCATCTTATTTTTCATTTCCCTATTATTCAATACCAACGACCTCCTATTCTCCTTAGAAAATGACCACGTCCTCCATTATCCGTAATGATATGATCTCTTATTCATATTTTATAATAATCCATATCCATTTAGGACCTCAAAAAATGGTGCTCTTATTGACAGCGATAACGGTTTGAAAATGTTCTGTTGTGTCCATGATAAGGCTATCAAAAAAAGTAGGGAGAAAATATTTTTGTGACATCCCAAAGACATTTAGATATAATCTCCGCCTGCTGCAGACATTGGCTGTTCTATTTATGTCTCGAAATCTCGTAGGTACTTTTAACATCTCTGAGATGTTTTTGTCCTCGCTGGGAATATTCTGACCCTCCATATTATTCTTATTGCATCTACCTATTGAAAAAATATTCATATAAAAGTTTAATTCTTAGAATAATAGTTGCAATATGCAAGTTGTTGTTGTTGAATGAGGTGATGACCTATAGGTAGGGGAGTATCGGCCCGTTACCCACCCTTAGGAAACGCCGAAGGGAATATCGACCTGATAGCAGCTCAATAAAAAGCCATCAGCCCGTTCACAATGCGTATTTCATGGAATATGGGTCAGCAGTCAGCATTATAAGTAGGTACCTATACTTACCCGACATCTGTTCATAATTCATTATTTTTAATCAATATATATATACCTATAGATACCATCATGAAATTAGAAAATAATAGGATAAGATGGAATTAATTCTACAACACAGATCACGGAAGCCAGATATAGTTATCATGAGTACCTATATAGGGAGGATAGGAAGGGGATAGGTAGGTGTTGGAATTTGTTTTGAACTTTTGGAGGTTATAATGAAAAGTTCTTGGGAATAATATATTCCCATTGCCAAAGAATTCCAAAGCTTAAATTGCCGTTCTATAGACGAACGAGTTTCAGTATAGTGTTGTTCGACATATTTCAAGGTTCACAGCGTAAAAGGATGTGCTGACTGGTCCTGTCGAGTTCGTCTGACTGGTATTGCGTGATGGAATGGTAGCAGATATTTCTGAGGATCATATTCCGTGGAAGTATCTATAGAAATGTGAAATTAGGTGTTCTAATGAGGTCAGAGGATTAGTGAGTGTGGCATCACCCACCAGGCGAATGGCTCTTCTCCGGATGAAATCTATATATAACTGCATGGGCGTATAGAGGCCGTGGCCGTGCCCCCCTGATGATCATGCACTTCTACTTTTTTCAACATATATATATATATATATAAACAGTAGTTCGTTTTTTGAATTTTTCAATGAATTCTCATTTTTTACAAAAACTATGCTACCACCTAACAGAATCAATGTAAACTCACATTACCTAGTGTTAAAGCGACTTATTCTCATTCAACATCAAAATTGATTGATTCCGTTTGCTACTTCAATAGACAAGAATATGTGAGGTTCCAGTGAGTCTCTTGCTCATTATAGGGAGCCTCACAAATTCACCAACATTTTAAGCCTCAAATCCACTGAAATCTGAAGAATATTGCGAATGTTTTGTAAAATAAGGAGTCCCCTGGCAATACCAATGGTGTTTTCCTGTGATTCGCATTGTTACCTAGGGAGACATGGATGTGACATCCCAGGGATGTTTGTGTTTACTGGGGAACTGCCTGAAAGAAAACTCGATAAAAGATGGTATAGCTATATAGCTAAGGAGTCGTTTAATGGTATAGTTTGTGGAGGAGTCCTTGGTGCCAAACACGGTCGAATGCCTTCGATATATCCTTATAACTGTGACGTAGAAGAGTAAATTTCCAATTGATCTTAGGTGGCGAAAGCCGTATCGTTTATCATTGATGATTCCTAAGCTTTCCAGATATTTGATGAGCTAAATGTTGATGACTGATAACAGGGCAATTGGCCTATAGTTGTTGGGCAGGCTTTTGTTTTCTTTTTTGGGGATTGGTTGGACTCTCTAGCTATTTTCCAGCAGGATGAAAAATGGAAACATAATGCCCTACTCACATGAACATGTTCGCCATTTTACACTGATGAAAATCATGAATTTAAACGTAATAATCGAGCCGAAATCTCGAAATATAGTACGATTACCTATGGATCCAAAAGTTTTAAAAAAATCTAATACCTACATACGCGTCCTATCTTTCCTAGGTACGCACGATGTTCTTCGAACGTTATAGGGATTACCTTCCGTGCGCTCCAAGCGATAAAAATAATCCGCTGTTTAACATTTGGGTTCAGGGTTGAATAATAAATCAATGTGGACTATAGGTACTTCTAAGGATGCCAGCTTTATACAAATTGCGTAGAGGACTCAAAATTTCGATATACCTGATGTGAATATATGTATGGACTACACTCGGGAATATGGCATGTTGAAATGAAAACAAAAATGTTGATCTTGAATGTTTTATCATGGCTTAAATCGAGGCAATTGTCTATTAATATCAACACATTTTTGGCACTTTCCCTGAGTTTTCTTTAGCTACATCTATTTTTATATTTATTATTGGGTTTCAAATGGTCACCCATTTTTTGAGAACTGTTTATATTAGTACCAATATTCAATCCCATAGAATCAAAATAATGAGTAGGTAGGTATAGATATACCGTGCTTTCACGTATAGATACTATACATACCTACGACATAACTCGTGAGATATCGTTATTTGGTGGGAGCGGAAGCGAGATGGGAGCCAGAAAGCGAACCATGTCGCTTCCCTTACTCCTACGTATAGGTGCTATCCCCGACTGCAACCGATTACTTTGCCTATGTATAGTGTTTTCGATGAAAGCACGGTATATGTATTCATTATGGGAACCGCCAGGATTTCTTCGGGGAGGTGCATCTGCATCTACACACAATATACTATTAACTGATAAAATATCAATTATAAAACACCTGATCAATTGAACTGTAACAAGCACATTTTCATTTTTTCACTGAATTCAACATTGAATATTATAGCATCTTCTTCTTTTAGTTTTCTTAGTTTTCTGACTCTCAGCGGTGTCAATTCCACCAGATCTGGTAAATCTGCACGTATTCGGATGAGGGTTTGGTAGTGCTTTGGTAAGAACGCCAGAATTTCGACAGTTTATTTGAATTAGGATCTGGAACGTTCACATTTTCGCCAAGCTCATCTACTTAAAAACTATGGTTTTGAATTAGAAACGACGTAATGAGCTAGAAGTTTATTCTTCGGAAAACAAAACGAAACAAAGTTATAAAAGATGCTCGAATACTCCACCTTCCACTTCTAAACACAATTCTACGCGTTTCCTCAGATTCTGAATTGTTCGCGAGATGTCCCCGTCTTCTTATCTTAATCCTGAAAGTGGTGATTATGGTTATGGTTCTTCTCAGCTCATCAATAACGATCGGTATACAGTTTAGAAAATCAAATCTTTCATAGTTCCCAATGAATAATAATCCAGCAGAGGGAGATCAGGTGACCGTGCTGGCCAACTTATGTCTCCGTTGTTGGAAATTGTCAGGGAACATATCTGACAGACACTCGGCAACCCTTCTTGCATTATGTGGATAAGCTTATAAGAATTCAACAGTTCTGTTCGCGTATTCAATTGAACTGTCAAAATTCAGTTTGTTAAACAAAACTGTTGGCGTTCCTTCCAAAGCACTCTTCGAAAAAATGTATTTTCCCAATTTTGATCAACAGGAAAGTTTCGATCATATCATTGTAATCAGAAAGAAAACCTTCCCAAAATGCAAAAATCCAACATGGCGCCCATAAGAAAAAACAAAGTTGAGTGTTGTAACTTTGTAATCAAGAACGTCATGTAAAATACGATGACAGTTTCAGATTCCTAGTGAAAAAGTGCTTTAAGAATGTCCTAGTCAGAAACGTCTAGGTCTCTCGGTTTTTGCTTGAAAAAAAAACGAATATTATAAATCTTCGTTTTCTTCAAATCCAAAAACTGAAAATGACTCATCGAATTCTCTTGTAGATCAATGTTCAGCATGAAAATGCGGCAACTTTGCCCTAATTTAACCGACCTCGTATCTCTTGAGATCTCCATAGAGGGATCGAGCTCGAAAAACGGGCACCCTGTATAGTCACTTTGAACGAAATAGGTATATTTGTAAACAATGAAAAATATTTTCAAATGAATAACATCAAACACACAGAAATACAGCGCGCTCTGATAATAAGTTGTGTAACTAGAATTAGACACGAAATCAGCATGAAATATGAAATGAAGAAGGAATAATTCAGTGGCCACCACGATATTTAGGGAAAACCTGTATTTTTAAAAACCAACAATATTACGTTCATCTATTGACTGAAAGATGGCGCAAGTCGATTCGGGATAAAGGGAGTGATTACGTGTCCTACTAGTAGTATCTTTAGCCAGATTGAGACGTAACGAGGCCACCCGTCAAGTTTATCAATCTTGATTGTTTTATGCTAATAGAGAAACCAAACTCTGATATTTGCAATGGTTTATTCTCTATTGGAATTGAGTAGGTATTCCCTTGAATTAATTAATTAATTAATAAATAGCAGTCCAACACTCATCGAAGTCAATTTATCGTCAATTCTGGGCCTAATTTTCAAGATAAAGTCAGTCGCATGGAAGCGCGAAGCGACATGGAATGAAGAAAAGCGAAAAAAATCAGCCAGTTGAAGAAACGGGAATTCCAAAGCATTCACATTGCCACAAGGAATTGCCACATTGCCACATTGCCATCAGGCTTTCATTTCCTCTCCTGTAAGCTGTAACTGCGAAATGCCAGAAACTCCAGATAGTTCTAATAGGTTTGCGTTGTTTAGAAACTTGAAATTATTTTGAATCAAATTTTCATCGCCGATTTCGTCAATAGATTTTTTTCCGGAAGCTGTAATAAGGTTCATGGCTTCCATAATATAATACCTTGCTAACCTCAGTGGGGCACCTTGTATATTATATTTTTACCAACTTTGTGGCCCTTGTGGCACCTGTAGCAACCATAGATAAATAAGTACAATATTGAATCATTGCTCTCTCTCTACAATCATCTGGAAAGGTAACTCAATGTTGAAAAACATTTCAATATAATAAAAATATATTACATAATATAGCAGTTCTATGTTCCCCTTTATAGTTATTGTTCTAGAGGAAAAAGAGCAATAATTGCATCACATGAAATTCTCTTGGAACAGATTAGAAATGAATGTGAAAGGTTTTTGAATCAAATATACTTTGGATTTTGGAATGGAAAAATGAGCTCTGAAGAAAAAAAGTAGAGTACCTATACTAGTAGGTACATTTTGGTACAATAAAAATACTTAGATAGTGCTAGTTAAAACACTATACATATTTTTTCATTGATATTCTAGGCTCATAAGCTTCAAGAAGTAACATTTAAATAAAGTAAGCCATCATTTGTTCTCAATATAAATCTTACTTTCCATAGTACTAAAACACCATGAAAGTTTAGTCAAATTAATAGAAATGATCTATGATTACTTGATTAGTATCTCTGAATGTTTTGTAAAGTGCTGACTTTGAGTATTTGATTATCGGTCATGTTTGTGTATTCAAAGAACCTATATTTTGTGAACATTCATGAACATTTTTGTGGTTTATTTTTCAGCACCTGACAAACTGCTGTTCTCAAACCTTTTAGTATAATTGGTTGTGGGACAATATTTTGATTACCATTCAACTCAATTGTAGGAATGAAACTCACAGAAGGACTGAGTGAATTTGTTCTCTCCCCATGCTGTTTCAATAATTGTGAACCCTTTATGTCTTTGGCACATTCTGCTATTGGAAGGAAGTCAATATTCAGTTCCTTGCCACACTAAAAAATATATCATCATCAAATTATATGAATGAATCAATTGGAATTCAAGGTGTAGATGATTGTATGAATTGTATCTTATGGGCTACACTCACTTACACTGGGTCTAAAGTATAATGGATATCAGAATCTTCCATAGGAGCAAGCATTTATCAGAGTCAACATATTTAATTCTACTCACCCTTTCTCCCACTTCTTCAGGTACCATATTATCTGATATCATACAGGCAATATATTTAAGTTGGATAAGAGGGTTTTTTACAGCATCAATAACACATGCATGTATTTTGTTGGCAAAGCATTCTAAAGCATCATGTTGACACAGAAATGTGATCTTCCCATTTGATTCCATGGTCTACGAAAATATTCAGATCACACATCACACATACCAATATGCATTACCTACTCTACCTATACATAGGAATTTTTATGAAAACAAAGTATGTTTGAACAACTCATTATTCCTGTGGAGAAAAAATCATTAAATGAGGAAGGTCCACTCACATTCTACAGATAAATTAGAAATTTGATAGATTACCTATACATCTTCCTCATTAATTTCTTATACCTAGATAAAAAACATCAATTGTATACTTAGGTGGACAATGATGCAGTTATTTGGACTAAAACTAAAAGATATAAACGAACCTGTGCTTTTCCATATGGTACCAAGTCCAAGATCAAGAAATCTTCTAAATCTTCAAATGTAGGAAGCAAGTGATATGTGATGAAGAATTTTGAGTCTGGACATAGGGCTTCATAATGGACAGATACTTTCACTTTATGAATAATTTTTACATCTTCAATGAACATTTCGTCATTGCTCAATTGATAATAACGAAATATCTTGTACAAAAATACTATGACAATGACCAATAGGAGGATTTTTGCTTGTTTAGAATTCATAGTTGGATTCCAGTGAGAGAATTTGATATTCCGATTTTCCAAATCGTCATATCTGCTTTTGGCACGTCCTTCTAATGAAAATTATCTCCTATCTGATTTATCTATTTGAGAAATATTCCACTTCGATCACTTCATGTTGACAAAACAAAATTCTTGTTATTCTTGATCTTGAGATCTTAGATAAAAATAAAAATATTGAAAATAAAAATGAGGCCGTGTCTGCCTAGAACCACGCTAACGTGAACGTACCGAACGTGGATCCAGTGTTTTCAGCTGCAGCTGCTGATAAAATGTCGCAAAACATTTTTGAAAATTTAGCAACTCTTTATCGTGATTTAGCGACATTTTTGATCATATTTTCTTATCTTCAGTTTCACTCAGTCAAAAATCTTAGTAAACATTATTTATTCAGAATCTGTTCTTATCTCCTGCAAATTTTGTCATATGAGTATGAATTGTATTTCGGCGCTTCGTTCGAAGAGAACACTTGTTTACTATGTAGTACTGCCCTTCAGTACTTGGTAACCCACAGTATATAAAAAGAAACCTATTGAAATAAAATAGGTTCCTTCCTCCCTAGATGTCTCTCACCTCTGTCAACTGTAGTCTGTCAAATCGCCTTTCTTCTTCATTATGCTTTCTGTGCTTGGTAACGACGCATCGTATTTTTCTTTGTCTTAATAATTTTATTATATTGTATACTTTTTGTTTTAGTTTAAGCGAACCTCCAGATGAATAAAAGGCGAAGTGACTCGAGATCTCCCAAAAGGGACAAAAAATCCAAAAGGGTTCTTAAAGATCTCGAAAATGAGATAAAAAATCTCAAGGAACTACTCTCCAAAGAGGGACGCCATCATTGTCACTCTGAGTCCAGATCGAGGAAGCGATCTAGAGACACTTCTGAAAGGCAACGAGATAATTCTCGAGTAGAAAAGAGGGGATCAGACATGTCAAAACATAAATATCAGTCCAAGAGACCAAGGTCCAGAACCCCTCAAAGGGAGTCCTGTAGATCTATATCGAGCTCCAAGCAGAGCTCTAGACTTGATCTAGGGTCTAGTAGTAAAGACCCTGGCAAGGATCCGGAATCTAGGTCTATGTCAATCCCTTCATTGGACAAAGATCCATTGAACTCCCAGGAGGGTGATTCAATATCATTCCTAAGTACAAGTCAGGATCTCGAAAGCCTGGATATGTGGAACTCTGAGGCATCAGACCAAGAAGAGTCCACAAGATGTGAGGGAAAAGAAAACGTTCCCCCTGCTGATGAACACACACTAGTTCTATCAGAAGAGATAAAGCTAGAGGAAGAAACATTGAGAGCTCTAGGAGAGGACACTGAGTCCAAGAAGTATTCCTTTACTCTTCATTCTGTCGTTAAAAATAGATGGGAGACTATTTTGACAAAGGGGCTTCCTAAGGAAGAAAAGGTACAGTTGATTGAGAAATATCAGTTTCCAGTGAACTTGGAGGGCTTAAAGGCACCAGAAATTAATCCTGAAATCAAATCGGCTATTTCAGCAGGTTCTGGAAAAAATGATAGATTCTTGGCTATAAATCAAGGCCAATTGGGATCAGGACTAGCTGCCCTAGGGGAGGCTATCAATCTACTCATAACTCAAGAAGAGGTAAATAAGGAGATGTACCACAAGGTACTAGGAATTCTGAGTGAGGCAGGAAAAATCCTGTGTAATGCTCATTATAACACTTCACTAACCAGAAGGTCCTTAATTATTCCATACCTTAATAATAATATCAAGGAAGTATCCATCGCTGCTCCCATAGGAAATTTACTGTTTGGGGAGAACTTAACAGATCGGATTAAAGCAGCAAAAGCTGTGGAGAGATCTGTACAGGAGCTGAAGCGACCAGTTATGGGTATCTCACAAAGGTTCAAAAAACCCAATAGCTTGCCTGCAAAGCAAACTTCAGTAGGTACATCTGGTCATTTAAACTACTCAGGCCCAGCGAAACAAAGGGGGGAGTCGCAACTGCAGGGCCAATACCCTCGAGGAAAGCCAGGGAGGAGAAGCAACTATGCCCACAAAAAATTCTAGGGGTAAGTAAAATAGGAGGTCGACTGAAAGATTTTGAAGAATGTTGGAAACAGATCTTGAACCCACCAGAAGAAATTCTAGGTTGGGTCAGGGGTTACAAAATCCCCTTCACAGTTAGACCTGTACAAGTTTGTGCAAGGTACACACTTGTGGAAAAAAGGAACAGTGAATTGGATGAGGCTATCAAGAAGCTAATGAGTCAGGGTGCAATAGAAATGGCACTCACTAGTCCAGATCAATTTGTGTCATCTTATTTCTTGGTAAAGAAACCAGATGGCACAAATAGATTCATATTAAACTTGAAAGCTCTAAATAAATTTGTGGAAAATCCTCATTTTAAAATGGAGGACTATAGAACAGCATTAAGACTGTTGAGGCCAAACTTTTTCATGGCTAAGATTGATCTTAAGGATGCCTACTTTCTGATACCGGTAAACAAGGATTTTAGAAAATATCTCCGATTTGAATATAGAAATAAACTATTTCAATTCACCTGTGCCCCCTTTGGCTTGTCATCTGTACCATATACATTTACAAAACTAATGAGGCCAGTAGTCACTAAGCTACGTTCTATGGGTATTTTATGTGTAGTTTATCTAGACGATTTCCTTTTCATTGCTGAGTCAGAGGAGTTGTGTAAATTACATATTAAAAAAGCAGAACACATGTTGGAATCCTTAGGTTTTATCCTGAATAGGAAAAAATGTTGTTTAGATCCTAGTAAGACTTGTACATTCCTTGGCTTTGTATTCGATAGCTCCGCCATGATCATTACACTACCCCCAGAAAAGATTTTAGGAATAAAAAATATGATCAACAAGTTTGAAAATCTGAGAAGGTGTAAGATAAGATTCTTTGCTAGTTTCATTGGGCTACTGATTTCAGTATGTCCAGCACTAACTTATAGTAGGTTGTATACAAAGTCCCTAGAAAGGGAAAAAGTTTTGGCTTTAAAAAATTCAGGACAGAACTATAATGCTTATATGAACATTAGATATGAAAAAATTCAGGATGATCTGGACTGGTGGAAAACAAGTATTCCAGAAGCTCATGCTCAAATTAGGGATGATTCATTTGATTTAGAGTTATTCACTGATGCATGCTTGACAGGTTGGGGGGCCTACTGTCAGGGAAAAACCACACATGGGTGGTGGAACAAAGAAGAGAAACAAAATCACATAAATTATTTAGAGCTCTTGGCTATTTTCTATGGGATAAAATGTTTTGCTAGAGACTACACGGCTTGTAATATTATACTTAGGGTGGATAATACCACTGCGGTATCTTATATTAACCGAATGGGTAGCATACAATATGAAAAATTGAATTCATTGTCAAAAGAAATTTGGAGATGGTGCGAGGTGAGGAAAATATGGTTACATGCCTCGTACATACCTTCAGTAGAGAATAAAGCTGATGAAAGCTCTAGGATTATTTCTGAGGATACTGAGTGGGAGCTATCAGAGAAAGCATTTAAAATGATTATAAATAAGTTCGGTGAACCGGAAATAGATCTGTTTGCCTCGAGAATAAATGCAAAGTGTAATAAATATATTTCCTGGTCGGAGGACCCTGATTCATCTGCTATTGATGCATTCACAGTAGAATGGTCAAACCACTATTTTTATGCTTTTCCTCCTTTCACCCTGGTCCTCAGGGTCTTAAAGAAGGTGATGACTGACAAGGCAAGGGGCATACTTGTAGTGCCCTATTGGCCTTCACAATGTTGGTTTCCATTATTCTTGGAATTAATTATAGGTGAACCTTTATTGATAGGACCAGATGAAAATCTTTTGTCTTCCCCTTTCAGGAGAGTCCACCCACTCAACAAGTCCCTTATCCTGGCTGTAGGAAAATTTTAGAACAAGCATTCAAACTGAGAGATATGCCAGAGGAAAGCATCCCAACCATGCTGGAATCCTTAGCAGCAAACACAATAAAACAATATAATGTGGTGTACAAATCCTGGTGGGATTATTGCACTAGACAAAACATTTCAGTTTTTTCTGCAGGAGTACCTGAGGTCATAAGTTTTCTACAGGCAAGACTAGATGAGAAAACATGTAATTATGGCACCTTTGGCAATTTCAGGTCAGCTCTTTCCCTCTTACTACCAGGTGAAATTGGAAAGAATCCACAGGTCAGCAGATTCATTAAAGGAATAGCTCGGCTTAGACCACCAAAACCTAGATATGATGTTGTATGGGACCCCCAGTGTGTACTGGATTACCTATCAAAGCGGAGACAGAATGGCGAGTTGACCCTAGCAGAGTTGAGCAAAAAAGTAATAACTTTGTTAGCTCTGACAACAGGGCACCGCCTCCAGACATTTTCTTTAATAAGAACTTTGAACGTCATTGTCCAAGTTTCTGGAGTAAAAATTTTCATTCCTGATTGTATAAAAACAACAAGGGTAGGCAGAGATCAACCATGCCTGCATTTGCCCTTTTTCCACGAAAATCCTTCAATTTGTGTTGCTACAGCAATTATCGAATACATAGAGAAAACCAAGGAAGTGCGGGAATCAGATCAAGAATTTCTATTTCTCACAACGAGACCACCCTATCGAAGAGCAACAGGACAAACCTTAAGCAGATGGATAAGGGAAGTCCTAGACAGAGCTGGTATCAATACTCGCATGTTTTCAGGATACTCGACAAGACATGCTTCTACCTCTGCGGCGTTTAGGGCAGGGGTTCCACTGAAATTGATTCGAAAATCAGCTGGCTGGACAGAAAAGTCAGATGTGTTTTGCCGGTTTTATAATAGACCTTTGGAAGAGAACAGACATTCCTTTCCAGAGGCCGTCTTACGAGGGAATCAAAGCTCTCCTCAATAAGGAAGTTTCTTTTCTTTTTCCTTTGATGAGTTGTACTCACAAAAATCAGTTTGATGTTTTTATGAAAGAGCAACAATAAAATGTTTTTGTAGTTTTGAAATTCTTGATTTCAGTTGTAAAAAAAAAAAAAAAACAACACTCTGAACAACTACATAGTAAACAAGTGTTCTCTTCGAACGAAGCGCCGAAATACAATTGATCGATCAAACGAACTTGTGAAGTTCGATCGAGATTGTATGAGGCGCTTCGTTCGAAGAGAACACCCCCA